TGCAAAAAATTCTCTCTCTGTGCTTACGGCGGAAACACTCGCGACTGTTTGCGAAGAAAAAAGGATAGAAAGAATGCAAAAAGCTTGTTAACGCCGCGCAACCGAGTTTGTGATTAATTCGCGCCGTAAATGATACGCCGCTTTTTACAAATATAATCCGGGAACTCCGCACCGGACTTTGCTTGCTCGCCACAAGCTTTGAAAGTCACTTAAGCGAGCTTAACATTTCGCACTTCACAGGCTATCAGTTTATTCGCGACGCATTCGTAACGCGGTTTTCATATTTTTATCGCGAATTAAATTACCGACAGTTGGGTAATTATTCGGATAATACTTATTTCTTTTTTGCCATTCTTTTTGACACTTTTTCCATTGCAAAAATTTTCAGGGCGCAACACAGTTTGTTATAATTTCTTGAAATTTGCAGATCCAAATTTGCCTGCTGTAGCTTGCCGGTGTTTATGCGTCTGGGTCAAAGCGTCAAAATACACGGAACGTTCCTGGTAGGCGTTATTTGAACGGCGCGAAGTTTTGGCGAAATCGTTATGTCGGTAAGTCAAACAGCGACCGAGCACGAAGGAAGGCGTTGGTTGGGCGAAGTTGGCGACGGGCCCGGCTTACGTTTTCGCTGATAGAGATAGAGATAGGCGGGCAGAGAGATAAATAGACAGGCGCGGGTGGGTAGGTAGGTATGTATCACGCGAGGAAGAGGAAGAGGCGAACGGCGAGACGGGGAGAGGATCCGAAGGTAGATTCTAGGACCGCGCTTAGTAAGAGACTCTGACATGGCGGTTAATTAACTCGCCATACTGCGGCAAGCTGCTGGGGATTGACTTGTCTGCGGCAATTAACGCTCCCATGGTTCTCGCAAAAATAGCTTTTCACGGCGCGCGATTTATGGCAACTCGCGTGTACAACTGCGCGACACTCGGTAGATCATCGCGAATTATTGCCGTATCAGAATACGAGTCATATACGTGGCGTGAAATTTTAACGTAAAATTATACTACTTTGAATGAATTTCAAGCAATTCCTAGCAAATTGAAGGATGTTGGTCGATTAATAAGTCCAAGCTGATGCTTGGTCGACGGAATTAGACGTGATTGAAATGATGCCAACGCGTCTTTTCCTTTCAACTGCCGTAACTGTCGGTGTCAGACTGCTATTATCTCTCATTGCAAATTACTGCTTCGTTAATATGGTAACGCATCGGTCAAGATTGCGAGTGACATCGCAGACAAAATACCAGCCAGTTTCGAGACTAGCAATTAATAACATGAGAAAGAGGACGCGTTAGAGTGTTAAATTTTATGACGCGTGTGTAGTAATTGAATTATATAAACAAAATGAATCAAGTGGCATTTATCAAGTGTTTTGTCGAATTTTATATTCTCAAGCTAGAATTTTATTCCATCTAATTCTGATATTTTTGGTGATATTTTCCGGGTGAGTGATGTTTCATTGTTTCTGACTAACGCGATGTTGTTTGTAAAACGATGGAAGAAGCAACATATAAAGAGAGCAGAGTGTAAGTGAAGGGTCAGACAAGCGGGTCGATTAATTAACCGAGAGACGGACAGCAGATGGTGCATGTCGTGGAGACGCAAGGCGCAAGAAAGGAAAAGTAAAGAGAACGAACGAAAGTAGCGGCGCGACTGCGGCAACATCGTTTTTATAACTTTAAGAGCCCGATACACATCGAGAATATTTGAGTCACCTACATAAACTGATAAAAAATATATTAACTTAGTAAACATGCATTGATTAATTTTAGTTATTATAATTGATTTACAAATTTTTACATTTATATAATTCGATAGCTATATTAGTAGATTTGTAAAATTAATATTTCAAATATAGACCGTCTTTTGTTTGTTTTTTCTTTTTTCTTTTTGTATCGTTTTGTTTGCCAAATTAATTTTAAATTAGAATTAGTCATTTAAATCTTCTTTAAGTCTAGCGAATGGCAGAAGTTTAATTTAAAGAAGTATAATAATTTTTGAAATAAATATTAATAAAAAAAAACAATAAGAACGATTAATGAATACAAAAATGGATGTAAAAAAGTCCATTTTTATATTGTTCGTGATAGTATCTTGAAGAATTCGTGATTTGAAGCATTTACTTGGTTTAATCCAGCTAAAATACAGCACTGGCAGATTCGACTCTCGTGATCTAGCGCCGACGTCGGCGTTCTTAGCGAGCGGGGGAGCGTCATTACTTAATTTAGATTAATTTCAGTTCCCTTGCTTCTGACTCGTCGTTCGCACAACTCAACCATCCCGAACGTTCCTTGAAATATTTACAAAATAATATATCACGCGAAGGTATATCACGTTTTATTTAGTAATCTGTGATAAGTGATGCAACATGATAACGTCATTGGATGTCACACGGGAAATTTTTCTAACGACATATAGTTTCAGACGAATTAGAAAGACGTAATGTTGATGCAACCGATAAGTATTACGTTGAAAGCCTTGAAATTTAGTATGCACGTACATCCATCTTCATATACGGCGTATAAAGCATCGATATTTTTCATCGGCTATAAATATCGCTGCGGACACGCCGCGGTATCCGCCGTTATGCTTAACACGGTAAATAAATATAAAAATACAGTCGTAGGAAATAGACACTTGATAAATTGTCGTATATTAAAATTTGCCGGAAGATGTATACAAATTAGATGAAATATCTTGATGTAATGCGTTCTAAATTTTAATTTGCATGGCATTCACAGTCGCATTCGTAACATCGTTATTATATGATTGTGGAGCGATTTACTTGACAGACATTGCGGTAAAATGCAATTCGTTTCTAGGGTTTAATAGATATAAACCTGTCTCTCCCAATAGAGAATTTACTGAATGACGAAACAGACAGCGGCAGGTAGACACCATAGAGCGTATCTCATTCTATTATACGACTTACCGGTTAGAACAAGTCTCGGATTCAGGTTCACGGTTACCTGATCACGATAGCCGATAGCATTCAGTCGAGTCGCCTAATCGTTCGCGTTTCGCTTCGATTACTTCCGTCGGAGCGTGTATGCGAGTTGATCGATTTCGTAACATTCTGAACTTACTTTCATTCGAAACAATCATTCTCGTTTTCGCGCGATGTAAATTAATTCGTGCATTGTTTTACCTAAAAAAAATCTCTGCAACATTGCAAATAGTTAAGCAACATAAACAAAATATTCGTTTAGTCAGATTTAGTTATTTTTATTGTATTTAAGAAGCAAAAAGATATGTGATACAATATTTGCCACTTTTCATCAATGCAAATCTCTCGCTTTTAAAGCAAGATCTGCACATATATATTTCATGTACGGCAAACATCTTGTAGAAATAGATAATAGAGATTTTACGCGACTCTACGGTTTCGCGAAACAGCTGATTGATTTATAGCGATCTACTTAATGTAAGTTTTTCCGGAACTGGGCGTGAAGTCTAATCGCCCACTCGAGCAAGCGTTTCTAGCTGTTCATCCGAGTGATGGACGACGGCACTTGTGCCAAGCGAGCGTCGCCCTACATTGAGACAATTCGTGAGATCGTAGGTGTTTGTTCCCATCAAATTTCAAGAGACATCTCCATCTTAACAGTCTTGAAGAAAAATTTCAAAGAAAGCCTTATTTACGATTCGTAGAGTTTTTAGAAAATTTTTATTAATCTGTAATACTTATACTTTAAGATACAAAGTCAATATAGTTAGCATAAGGATTTAGAACTATAGATTTCTTTTTTAATTTTGAAAATTAAGATTCTGCAATCGGCGAGTACCTCTCGCAGAGCCAGCAATACGGACGATGCGCGAATTTACAGAAGGTTAAGACCCATAAGTCTTCGTCGTGACTTTACGGCGGCGCGAAAAGGCTTCTTGGTCAAACGGCGGTCGCGATAAATCTTAATTCGCACGTTGAAACGCGGCGTTTAGCGTTTCACACCGGGTGAGATATGGCCTGCTCGTTGTCTCTCTCTTTCGCGTCGCGAATGCTGTTTTCGGGATTTGAAGCTGCAAAATGCGCTGGCAGAATATTCACAAGCTAGAGCTCATTTCTCTTTTGCGACCTCATTTGCATATTTTATCACTGGATTGCATCGATGAAAACGCTTTATTTCCGCTCCGGGGCGTTTCGATAGGGTCGAATAGATTCTCAGCCTTGGAGTTGATAATGATATGACTCATGACGACTAACGACTCTGACAATGCACGTGAGAACTCAGATTTGTCTTAAATCTCACTAAGGTATTTTGTGATAAATTTAAGATTAGTCTAAATATTCGCCAATCTTTTGTGACAAGTTTCAAATTTTTTATATTGCTTATTTTAAGAATTATAAGTCTCAGATTAGGTTTCTGTTATGATGAAAAAATTTTATTCCAAATTACATTTTGTGTTTGTCACGTCTCATTTTATCGAAACGTACATCTCTACAAATATTCACGAAATAAGATGTTGAAAGATTTCCGAGTCTGTTTATTCACTTGAAAGACTCTTTATTTTTGTTCAGGGAATGAAAGCGGCGGGCGATTTTGGCCTTGAGTTGTGAGTTGTTCGATAAAATAGGAGGTAATTTAAAATAATTGTGCCATTAAAATGATGAAATTATAGCCGCTTTTTCTCTAACGATCACGACAGTTTTTAAACAAATGCATCAACAACATACACTCGTCATATGATGAAATCGACTTCAACCTTGATGGAACAATAATCGTGTCAAAGTGTATTGATTATGGCATGGATTAAGGAAATAGGCACGCTATAATCAATCGACTATATAACAAATATGAAATCGCGTGATTGTCTCCGACGATAGCGTGATAAGCCTGCCTGAATAAAATAGGACATTAATAACTATACATGAAGAATCGATAAATAACCTTTTCATTCTTACATTAGATGATAAAAGGAATATGACACTTTATAAAATGTTAGAATGTATATAATAAGATAAATCTTATTATATATAATATATCTCGTGCATTTGTGTGAAAAAAATTAAATATATTTTGAAAGAATTTTAAGTCAAAGATACCGTATAAAATTAGGAACAAAATAGTGATTTGCCTTTTAAATTATGGTATATAAATAGCGCTTACGGTCGTGCGAGCGGAGAGGAAAGTTGAATTATGATAATCGACAGTGTCGCAATTGAACCTGAGCAAACGACTGATTCAAGATTCATGAACTTGTATGTACTGTTGCAATCTCATATAACTCAGAACACGGAATCTACTTTTCCGAGCAAGTTTGCGAACAGCTGACTTTATCAGGATAAATCCGCGAGCCATAAAGCATTCTTGCCCCCTGATCCGATATCCTCTATTCTCGAATCGGTGAATCTGATTCGAACTCAAAACAGGCGCGAACGGGGGAAAGTAAGCCTCTGTCTTCGTAGTTTCCAGGCGGGTAGGCCACGCACATCCCTCACGAAGTAGGGGGTAACGATCTGATCCTGTCCCACGAGGAAACCGCGAGAACCATTTCGCCCTACGGATACATTCGAACCTACATTTTTTAAGCGTGGTCCTTGGATCCATTTTTTTTCTCCCCCCCATACTCTTCCGATACGTACCTTCTCTGACGCAGGAGGAGTACATACACTACTGTTCGCGTTCGTAGCGTATACAGCGCGAATGTGCAATCATTCGCGCGAGTGTGTGCGCGAAAGGCTCTCGCTCTCGTCCTTTGTGCGAGTTGGGATCCTGTGGGTATGTTCCCATGCAAATATGCAGGGCCGCACGATCCAACGCTTCTTTTGTCCAACGTGATGCCAGCCATTCCGCCGACTAGTCACATGTTGCGTCTATATCGCACCTTTGAATATGAGACCAGGCGTCGAACACCTGATATCTGAGGAGAGAAAAATTGATGCTTTACAGTACGCTTCGAGGAAAAAAAACTTTGTTTAATTCAATATTTTAATGCAAATAATCTTTTAATTTCTCTCTTCTCGTTCAACGTGCAGATGGGAGTTTCATTTATAAACGCAGCAACTCGTAATGCTGTAGCGAACAATGCATTATGAGTGCTGAGTAATACAGCTATTTATATGAATAAACACACAGCGCGCTGAGTACAAGTAATCCTTGCCAATCGACAGTAATGTTGGCAATTTGAATTTATGTAAACCTTACAAAAGCGCGTTTAATTCGCCTTAAATAGGTTACTTCGAATTTCACGTTGCACAACGACAATATTGCGGGGTTTCGTGTACGCGTGATGAACGAATTTCACTGATTAATCGGTTGATACGTGATACGCTGACTTACGGTTGCTTTTCGCAAGGCAGTACGATGGTTACGTCGTCGAGCTTCGTTTGATGTGCTCTCACCGTTACGATTTGCTTTCCATCTTGCACATGTGCACTACATCGTATGTGCAAACTTGCAGAATTGCAATGCAATCGTGACATATGTTGGTAGTTTTCGCACCTGTGAACTTTATTCTAATGCGTTGAATCTATTAACTCTAATAGCAAAATCGATTAAAATGCTCATTTTTGAGATTAGAAGCGAAAATCATTTAGGGAATGTAAAAATATGCAAGATTTACAAATAGATATCTATTATTTCAGCATGTATTATATAAATGGAAAATAATTTGTATCATATTGAAACTTTGTAGGACGGGTAATGTCACGTCGGTGGATTTAGATAAAAGAATCGATATTATGCTCTAATGCAACATTTTCCTCCTTCCGTTGCTACGCGAACATTTTATACTGAACATTTCTTGATCGCTCGCGTGTCGAGAGGATATAAACTCCTTTTTATGTCGTCTAAAAATCGAAGAATTTATTTCCGAGCGGATGCTGGAGAGCATCTAATAGGGGCATCGGTCCAAACCTCTCGGGACCCGTTGTCAAAAATACGCGGTCCGCGGCTAAAAATACCCCCGCGAGCGAAAGTGTACGAAGAAAATGGGGGGGACCCGTATCGAGTAACATACATATCGCGTCGAAAAATACTCCGGCATTCGAACATAAAACGCAATCCGGTTTCCGCGCGCGGGTCCCCACAGAGAGAGAGAGAGAAAGAAAGAAAGAAAGAAAGAAAGAAAGAAAGAGAAAGAGGACCTCACTCGGAGAGTTGGTCGTCTGAG